AAAACGAACTATATCCTCAGCCACAAATATAACAACTAATACCTTTGAAATCTTCCAAAATGTGTCTTCTTTCAATAAAATTGTGAGAATCATGGCTTACGTCATCCGATTTTATAAAAATACTCTAAGAAATCATAGTGATAGAAAGAAAAGAAAATTGGAGGTAGAAGAGATCGAAGCATCTGAGAAGTTCGTTTTGAAAGAAATTCAAAGAGAATCTTTTAATGGAAAGATAAATTTTCGAACTGTGAAAGACAGCGATGGTCTCTTACGAGTTGAGACAAGAATAACATCGAGAAAAGACTTAGAAACTTTTAGATTCCCTATATTATTGCCTAGCAAGCATGATTTGGTGGAAAAATTAATAATGGACAAACATATTGAACTGAAACATGCCGGTGCTCAAACTTTGATGTCTCACCTCAGAGAGTCGTTTTGGATTATTAAAACCAGAAAGACAATTCGAAGCGTCGTAAGAAATTGCGTCAAGTGCAAAAGATTCTCNAAGCATTCCACTCCCAGAAGATCGAGTCAGAGACGCAGCTATTTTTGAAATTATAAGTGTCGACCTGTGCGGGCCTCTGCTTTTAAAAGGAGATAGAAAATGCTGGGTGGTACTCTTCACTTGTGACATCTACCGAGCGGTGCACCTCGAAGTAGTATCGTCCCTAACAACAGATTGCTTCATCTTGGCCCTTCGAATCGGAGATTCCAACCATAAAAGAATACACTGGCCATTGGCCAAAGTTGAAAAGACTTATCCAGGAAAGGATGGTAGAATCCGTTTAGTGGAACTTAAGACCCAATCTGGGAAACTATTAAGACCTATACAAAGACTTTTTCCGCTGGAAGTGTAACCATTTTGCTAATAATTTTATTTGTTTAGTTTTTTTTCAGATGGACCATATAGACTAAGAATTCTGTTTGGATTCGAAAAGATTTTATTCGAATCCAAAGGTGGGAGATTGTCGAGAATTCCCACTATAACTGTCTTCTGCGCATGTTGTTTTGGTGCGCCCACAGCGCCACTAGTTGATGTTAATATCTCGATCTGAGAACAAGCATGTTTAGCTCCGTAAATAATTGAACTTTAATTGTTAATCCTTTTTTTGTTTGTGTTTTCTAATTCCGTTATTATTAAAGTGATTGTCTATAAAACATGTTAGAGTCTTTTATGACTGAGCAAATTGATATTTATAACCTATAGTGGCATTCCTGGAGAACGGGGTAAGTAGAACTTACCTTGCTTTATAGAAATAGTTTTCTTCAGTTTTTGCTTAAAAATTGACAAATATAGTAAAAACAGTGTAATCTAAATAATATCAGATAAAAAGTTCATGTATTTAAATTCTAAAAACTATCATAAATAATTTATAAATCGATTCAAATTTACTTTTCAAAGGAGATTAAAATAATTTTTTTTTGTTGCTTTTAGACAGAAATCCCCTAAAAAAATTGTTTATTGCCTAGAAACTTCGAGATATTTTCTATTAACAATAAATTAAACCTTTTCGAGCAATCACTGAACATTATTTCAATTTTTTTACTATCAGAGCTTGGTTGCGTAGCAACCTAGTAAAATTAAGCACTCCTCAATGTTAAGCATTAGTGAATGGGTTATCTTAAAATATTTATTTGCGCAGGTGACTTTTTTTGGCGGTTTTCTGGACTATCGACAAATATATAAACCTTTATTGCGGCCCAATTTACCACCCAATTTTTTTAAAATTTTGTCTACCACCCCTAATTCAAGTGTCTAGATTCCAAATATGTAAAAAAAAATATATGTTTATTCAGATAAAGTACGTTTTTTTTGTCTGATTTCGTAACTTAATTAATAGTTAGCACTAATTAATTAGCATATTTGAGGTCACCCCCAGGAACCATTAAGATTGGCACTTAGTTCGTGAAAATCCGATCATTAGAACGAAAGTTATTCAGGGTTGTTTTTTTTTGCGGATTGTACAGTCCGCAAAAAAATAAAAGATATCACCAGATTTCGATAGTCCTGAAAACCGCCAAAAAAAGTCGCCTGCGCTAATGAATATTTTAAGATAACCCATTGACTAATTCAAAAGAAGAATGCTTCATTTTGCTAGGTTGCTAAGCAATCAAAGTCTGACCGTAAAAAAATTGAAATAAAATCTTGTGATTGCTTGGAGAGGTTTTATTAATTGTTAATAGAAAATATCTCGAAGGTTCTAGGCAATAGACAATTTTTAAGCTGATTTCTGTCCAAAAAGCAAAAAAAAATTTTTTTAATCTCCTTTGAAAAGAAAATTGGAATCGATTTATAAATTATTTATTATGTTCTAGTTTTTAGAATTTAAACTCATGAACTTTGTATCTGATATTATTCATATTATGTTGTTTTTGCTATATTTATTCGAGGATTTCATACTAAAATCAAATTAACATAACTTATTATAGCTATATACAAAAATTTAGGGATTATCATTTTTACAGCTTTAATCGAATCTTCAAGGCAAGAAAGTTTGAAGGGAAAAAAAGTGCTCGAAAAATAAAATGTGGATTATATATAATTCTAATGCACATTTACAGAGTTTTCTATAATTTACGATATTTCTTTTTTCTAAAACTCGGCAAAGTGCGGCTCCAGAGCCGCATGTGGCTCTTTGGCTCCTTAAGTGCGGCTCTGGCACAAATATCCGCGGAAGGCGTAATAATATTTTCCTTAAAAAAAATTGGTCAGAAAAGAAAATTACATCTTATATTGATAAATTAAAATTCTTCTATAAATCGAGAACACGCATTATTTTTTGTTTAAGTTAAAAGATAGATAGGTAATTAAAATTTTATTGATGCGAACTTGGAATCATGCCTAAAATTAAAAACAACAACATGCAAACCTAACTTACTCAAACTTTCCAAGGAGATGCAAGCACATTGTTCGCATTAATAAATATTTATTAAGTATGAAATTTCGCTTTACTTAGTGTACTACTTACTTAGCGTAATGAAAGTTTACTAAACAAGCAGATTTGGCTCCCATTTTTTTTAAAATTGTTGTACTGTTCATATTTGACTCTTTGACTAATAAGTTTGCCGACCACTGGTCTATAATAACATTTTTCTGTTCACCATACTTTAAGAAAAGCTTTCTTTTCAATGGACCGCTCACTGAACTTTTCGTTCTTCATCGTGGAAGGTACCTAAAGTGTTCCTCATTTTACGTTGCCTGGTGAGAACCTTGTAACCAAATTAATTTCTTAATTTTTGCTATTCTAGCATAAGAATATTACCATCAGTTGCTTTTAAATTTTGCTATTTTTAGATTATTTCTCTACCACCATTCCAAGGCAAAAAAACCTTGATGAACCAACATAAATTTGATGGTTACCATCTTGAATTCTCATCAAAGATCAACATATAGCTTGACGAGACCATCATAAATTCCCTATATCACATTTAGGAATTCACACCTTTTAAGTAGGGCCAACAAAGCATACCAAACAGTGTATGATGGATTTTTATGTTGGGCCAAAATAGCATAATGGAATTTTATGTTGGGTTAGCATAGAATACCCAACATAGTACTATGATGGATTTTCATATTGATCCAATATAATTTACAGGTTACCATTATAATTTTCCATCACAAACCATCATGCTTTATGTTGGGGCCCAACATACAAAGTTAGGAATTGGCACTTTTTCATGT